AGCGCCTCAGCCATTACGCTAACTGCTGGTCCCAATATTGGATACATTGTTAAATAAATCTGGTTATGATTACATCATTTTAATGCACATTCTTGCTTTATTTATTTATTTTTTTACTAATGACTTATTATTTGCTGTTCATTTCATGTGTATTTTAGACTATGTAAATGATGTTAGTCAAAAAGCAAATTCGAATGATTTTCTTATTTGAGTTCAAAATGGGTTGTAAAGTAGCAGAGACAACTCACAATACCAATAGTGCATTGACCCAGGAACTGCTAGCAAATGTATGGTACTGTGGTGGCTCAAGAAATTTTGCAAAGGGGACTAGAGACTTGAAGATGAGGAGTGTGGTGGCTGGCCATCAGAAGTTGACAAAGATCAATTGAGAGCAGTCATGGAAGCTGATCTTCTTACTGCTACAGGAGAAATTGGAATATGTCAACCATTTTGTGGTCATTTGGCATTTGAAACAAATTGGAAAGCTGAAAAAGCCTGATGAGTGGGTGCCTCATGAGCTAATCAAAAAAAAATATTTTTATTCTTCTTGAAGGGTTACCTTCTCTTAGTCTATGCAACAGCAACAAACTATTTCTTGATTGGATTGTGATGTGTTATAAAAGTGGATTTTGTACAACACTGCTGGTGACCAGCTCAGTGATTGGGCTGAAAAAAGACTCCAAAGCACTTCCCAAAACCAAACTTGAACAGAAAAAAGTTCATGGTGAAGCAAGCCAAGTTATGAAGGAGAGACATTGTATGTCTCCACTTAATATAAACTGACTATCTGTACCTTATAGCCAAAACGGAACGACTAGAGGATCTAGAAACATAGAAAATGATTATAAATAACAGATACAGTGTGGGAAGAGGGTATGTGAAAGAGGAGAGTCTGAGGAAAGACGTAAAGAAGAAAAATAGAGAGGCAGGACATTTATGGGACAAATAGGTTATCTGTTGAAGATAATGTGTATAGTATTCTCAACTGGATTAGTTAGAAATGTGTACGTGTTGGAATATTCACTTTGCAAACTAAGTGACATATGTAGTTGAATGTATAAAAGAAATTGAAAAAAAAGTCATGGTCATTGTTTGGTAGGGTCTGATCTACTACAGCTTTCTGAATCCTGGGAAAACCATTGTATCTCAGAAGTGGGCTCAGCAAATGGAGGAGATGCACTAGAAACTGCAATGCCAACCTTTCACAACAACACCCAGCTGACTGGGTACAACCAAGGCTTCAAAAGTTGAATGAATTGGGCTACAAAGCTTCGTCTCATTTGCCAAGTTCACCTGACCTCTTGCCAACCAACTGGCACTTCTTCAACCATCTTGACAACTTTTTTCAGGAAAAAATGCTTCTATAAACAGAGGGATGCAGAAGATGCTTTCCAAGAGTTTGCCAAAACCTAAAACCTGGATTTTTAAAAACTTTTTAAGAGAGATTTTTGCTACAGGGTGAGTGTGTTCACCAGAAAGACAGAAAGCAAAAAATCACCCCCAGGGGGCATAGCCAAGCCGCAGTCTCTTCTCTTCCATTCTTCTCTTGGAATGTGAGGTGTGCATGCACTGTTGCCAGGTGTGAGTGTGAGTTTTAAGCCACCTGATCCAGGACTCCACAGTTGACTTACTGGGAGTTCAGCAATGTAGTAACCATTATGCCATCTGCTGGTCTAGAAACATGAATTTTTATACTACGGGAATGAACACACTTGTTTCTCATTGGCACAACTGGGTTGATTACAATGGTTCTTATTTTGACCAATAAAGATGTGTTTGAGCCCAGTTAGAATGATTTAAATTTCACTGTCTGAAACCACAATTTGCTTTTGCACTAACCTAATACAGAGTCCTCACCAAGAAAAAAAAAAAAGAAAAAAGAATGTCAGTCCTTATTGTTAGCCTCAGCAACGTACATGCTCACTTGCCAGAGGGCCGTTTATGAACCAGCACCAGTTTGCTCTTTCTGAATGTACTTAAGATGATTACCCAGGTCAGGATGAGCAAAAGGAGATACAAAGGAATGGATGAAATGTAAACTGTTGCTGTCGTCTTACTTCCCCTTTAGCTGAGGAGCACTAGAATTTGTAGGTAAGGGAGCAGAAGGCATTGAGTCTTGAGTGTCCTGTCTCATAAAACTGTACTGTTCATCTGTGACTCTAGCCAGTTTTAGAGTGCAGGGTTTGCACAGCATCAAAAGTCTTGGTTTATTTAGGTGTTTTTCATGATATAATTCTGGTTATTCCTTGTGATGGGAAATAAAATCAGGAGAACTTCGGAATAAGAAGTCAATGTGTCTTCTAGAAAAGCCTAGGATGACTAGGCCCTATGAATTATTTTTTGGGGGAGAAATTATTTATTTATGTATCTCTTGTAATTTTCAAGCCACCAGATCTGAGACTTGAACTGTGATTGGTCATGTGGGAATCCAGCGTCTTAATCAACATGCCGGCCCCAGAGTTCTTAAACATAAAATACTTCAATGAAAGTGTTTAAATCATTGCCAAACCTAGCTTCTGAACTTACATGTTGATGTATGATGTAGGGAGTATTATGGGTTCTAGAAGGTATCTGCAGTCTAGCTTTGTAATCTCTGGGGCTTTTTCCTCATGGCAAATAGCAATGAAAACAGCTGGTCTACCTAGCTTATAGCATTGTTGGGAACTTTAAAGAAAGATAAAGCACTGACCCAGTGCACACCTTTATCACTTCCACAACTCAGTACAGAAGTCTTGGCTCCATTTGGGAATGTTCACTGGTCTACAACCATTCTACAGCCCAGAGAAGCAGCACAACCAAAGTGAGGTTTTCTTCCTACTTTGAGCTCAAAGTGGCTCAATGTAGATGTGATCTCATATTTCACAGACCAATTTTGGGTTCCTGAACAACAAAAGGTAATGGCCGGAGGAGCGACATTTCTGCTGGTGTAGAGGGGACAGCCTTAATGCAGGTGATTAGCACAAGTCAGCAGAGACTGGAGGGAGCCCTCTGTATCACCGTATCAAAGCTCATGTAATTGTCACTCAGTCCGTGGTTTTATTTCTTTAATAAAATATGACCTCACTTTCCTATTGTAGTCCAGAAGTGTGAGGATACATTTGTTGCAAACTTCATGCAGATAAAAGGGGGAAATTCCTTTGGAAACTACATCTTCTTAATAATAAATAATTTTTGATCTACTATACATAACAGTAGCGCAGTTCTTGTTAAAACAGCAAGCTCTTTTTTTTTTTTACCAAAATGAAAAAAAACATTCAATTCTTTATAAATATTTTAAATAATTTAAATACATATTTCATACCAAGGATATAAAAATAGCCTTTTTTTGATAAATAAAGACATTTTCATTTACATGGCAAACAACGTGCAGATAGCTAACCACTGGCCGCCAGTTCTATTTGACTGATTGTCTAGGAGATGACATGCAGTGATAATTGTCCTTTTGCCTTCATAAAAAAAAAAAAAAAAAAAAAAAAGACAAAGGGGGGCTGGGCCATAC